AGCTCAGAGCCTGGAGCCTACTTCAGATTCTGTGTCTCCCCCTCTCTACCCCTCCCCTGCTCATGCTCTGTGTGTCTCTCTCTCAATAATAAATGTTAAAGAAAAAAAATTTTTTTTAAATATCCTTCTGGGGTGTCTGGGGGGCTCAGTTGATTAAACAGCTGACTCTTGATTTTTTTTTTTAATGTTTATTTTTGAGAGAGAGACAGAGAGAGAGAAAGACAGAGAGTGAGTACAAGTGGAGGAGGACAGAGGATCTGAAGCAGGCTCTGCACTGTCAGCACAGAGCCCGATGTGGGGCTCCAACTCAAGAACTGTGAGACGACCTGAGCTGAAGTCGGAGGCTCAACTGACTGAACCACCCAGGTGCCCCAGACTCTGGATTTTGGCTCAGGTCATGATCTCATGGTTCATAAGTTCGAGCCCCACCTCAGGCTCCATGCTGACAGTGCAGAGCCTACTTGGGATTCTCTGCTCTCCCTCTCCCCCCGACCCTACACCTCAAAATAAATAAACAAACTTAAAAATGTCCTTCTGTGTGGTCCCTCTCAATGGGCTCCAGAGATGCTTCCAATGTTCTCCAAACTACAATGCTACATTTAGCCTCCATGTGTGAACAATGGCATCCTCACATTCAAATGACTGCAGGCAAGTTGGGTATGGGTCTCAGACAATTGTAGAAACTCCTAAACTACTTATCTCTCTTTCTTTGTGGTTAAATTTTCTTTATCATTTTTGCATTCTTATGTTACATGTTTTTGCATTTTCACTTTTTTCCATAATTAGGCTAGCCATGGATCGATGATGATGATGATTAGGTCTCTTCAAAGGATAAAAAGTTAAGGTTTTATTTTTCTTTTATATTTGTTCAATTAGAAATGTTTAAACAGAGTGGCTGTTCAATTTTATCAAATGCCTTTTAGACACCTATGGAATCATCACAAATCGTTCCAAGGAGAAAAATTAGTATAGTGATTACACTAATAGGTTTCCTGACACTAAACTAAATATTGTACCCTTGTTAAGCTCTATTTCATCAGGGAATACTCTGACATGGTACTGGATTCTATTTGCTAATATTTTACTTAAAATACAGGCATCAACATGGATAAGTGAGACTGGTCTGTAGTTTTCATTTTTGTTATTTTCACTGGGTTTTAATAATATAACTAAATTAATTAAAAGGCTACACACTGTTCTTCTTCTATGCATATCTAGCCATGGCCACTGAGAGATACTGCTGAGCTGCTTCACCACAGCAAGTATTCCCAGAGCCTTAGTTTTATCCGTTGCTCCTCACTGCAAAGTGTTCCACCCAACTTCATGTTTTCTTCCAAGTTCAGATGAACAGTTAATGCCCGACCCTCTAATCCAGGAATCAACAAGTTATGGCTTGTGGGCAGGCCACATATTTTTGTAAATAAAGTCTCCTTGGAACACAGACACCCCCATTCATTTAAGCACTGTCCACGGGTGCTCTCAGGCTACAATAGCACCGCCGAGTGGTTCTAACAGAGATGGAGGGCACACAAAGCCTACATGTGCTGACCCCTGCTCTAATTCTTAATTTGTTTAAGCCAAACCCCATCTTTGCTTTCTTTTTGTCACAGAGAAAGAATACAAAAAGACATCCTCTGTATTGTTTTTCTAAAGTCCAGCCCAACCGAGAGAATGTCTTTAGGTGGAAATGTAAACCCTGGTAGGCAGCTTTGGCTTCGCCTCAGGTGAGGTTTCCTCACAGCAAAAGAGGCAGTATCACTTTTCCAGGTCCACTTCTACTCCCAAGGAGTTCAAGGTAACAATCCAGGAAGAAATTGTTCAGACAAAAATATCTCTTGCATTTCTTCAAATACTGTTAGTGGATAAGTGAGCTGGCTGTAATATTTATAAGTTAAATATAGAGTTAGGCTCCTTACTTCTGAAAGCAAACTCTCCAGAGACATAGGATCCATCTTGCTGTAGACGTTCCATAGATTCAAACTCACATCCTGCAGCTGCAACAGAGGGCAAAAACATTGAAATAACTGAGTCAATATCACTACAACAATCAGATTTATCAGAAATGACTATCTTGGTGAAAACTAAGTGATTAGACTAATAAATCAAACTTTTATCAATTATATTAGAACCAATACATATTAATAAATGCTATCCAACTCAAGGAAACTAACTTTACAGAAACTTTGGTACATTTTTGACTATCTTCAATGATGAGCACATATATATGTATGTACATACACACATTTATTTGCCTTTGCTTAAGTTTTTTAATTAAAATAATACATGCTCATGGTTTAAAAAAAATCAAATAGTAGTAAAGGCTTAGAATAAAACATGTGAATCACCTACTCCAATCTTTCTCCAAACCTCCACTGTCACAGAGGCAATCACTCACAAGTCTTTTAACATTTTCTTTCTGGTAGTTACCTCCAAATTTTGATATAACATGCTTCTATCACTATTTGATTCCTCAATTTAGAAATTAAATATTAACCATCCCTATTCTCACACTTTTTCTCCACATACCTATACCCTAACATCATCTAATATCATGATTTTTTAATTATACCAGTAATTACTGTTTATAACATTAAGATCATATATACATTATTTACTATAGGAACATGTATGCTATACTCCTAGTTGCATTCTTAAACCAATTTTATTTTTCTTAGGGCTACCGACAGAGTCATTTTTTTTCACTTGTGCGATTAAAATAAAAATCAACCCTGAAGTTTTTTCTAATTGTCCCACCCAATTAGCTATGTTTACACTAGGGTTTCTAAACATCAACACTACTATCATTTGGGGCCAGATATTTCTTTGCTGTGAGGCACTTCCCTACGCATTGTAGGAGGCTTAGCAGCATCACTGGCTTTTACTCACTAGATGCCTATAACACTGCTACCCGCAGACAATCCAAAAGGAATTCCAAACACTGTAAAATGTTTCAGAGGTGGGATGTTGGGGAAGCAGCAACAAAATCATCTTGACTGATAACCAATGGCTTAAACATATCAGATAATCTAATAATTCTTTTTCTTACCTCATTCTGGTCTGGCTGTTATGTAAGCTTGCTGTGCAACTACAACTTTTGCTTTGAGAGTTCTCTTTGCTATCATCCTGAAGCTTTCAGATGATGGATTTGGTTCCAGGGCTTACTTTTCTCTTTCTTGATTAACTCACTTGTTACTGGAGTACATCCTCAAATAGCTTTTTAAAAAATATTTATTTATTTATTTTTGAGAGGCGGGGAAGGGCAGAGAGAGAATCCCAAGCAGGTTCTCTATTGTCATGGCAGAGCCCAACACAGGGCTCAATCTCACGAACCGTGAGCTGAGCTGAAATCAAGAGTCGGATGCTCAACCGACTGAGCCACCCAGGTGCCCCTCCAATATCTTTTCAGAAGGCAAAACTTTTTTAGTTTTAAAATGTCTTTATTTTGTCCTCAGGCCTGACTGACAGCTCATTAATGCTCTTTCCATTCTTTTGGACTCTTCACTCTCTCCATGCTTTACCTTGATAGTTTCTACTGCTATAGCTTCAAATTCACTAATCTTTTCTTCTGCAGTGTCTAATCTATTGTTAAAACCTCTCCCATTTCAGACAATGTAGTTTTCACCTCCAGAAGCTCAATTTGGGTCTTTTGAAAATTTTCTCTCTCTGTTCAACAAGTTCAATTTTCCTCCTAGCTTCTTGAAAATATGAAATACAGTTAGAATAACTATTTTAATGTTCTTTGCTAACTCTAACATTTCTGTCACTTCTAGGTCAATTTTGAATGATTACCTTATTATCAGTCATGTTTTCCCACTTCTTTGTAAAGAGGATAATCTTTGGATGCTAGACATTGTGAATTTCACCTTGTTGGAGACTACGTATTTTTGTATTCCTATAAATATTCTTGTGCTTTGTTCTGGAATGCAGTCAAGTTACTTGGAAACAGTTTGATCCCTTTAGATCTTGCTTTTATGAATTTTTAGGAGGTCTAGAGCAGTGCTCAGTTTAGGAGTGACTATTCCCCATTACTGAGACAAAACCCTTCTGAGGACTCTACTCAGTGCCCTTTGAATTATGTGTTTTTCCAGTCTAACTGTTCCCAGCCCTTAGCATGTATCAGGCATTGTTCTGGATTACTTTTCAGATGTCTTTTTTTTTTTTTTTTTAATGTTTATTTATTTCTGAGACAGAGAAAGACAGAGCATGAATGGGGGAGGGGCAGAGAGAGGGAGACACAGAATCAGAAGCAGGCTCCAGGCTCTGAGCTGTCAGCACAGAGCCCGACGTGGGGCTCGAACTCACAAACCGTGAGATCATGACCTGAGCCGAAGTTGGTCACTTAACAGACTGAGCCACCCAGGCACCCCCAGATGTCTTTTGTTTAACTCTTGCCTTTGGTAGTTACCTGACACATGGATGAATTGATCAATACTCTTGAATACTTGGGATAGGGGGAGGGGCAGGGAAATCTTGGCAGATCTTTGGTGTTCTCTCTCTGGGCACTTTCCTTTTTAGTACTCTAGCTGCTCTCTTACCAGACTCTTCACTGCATCTTCTCAACTCAGGAAATACACTAGGATTCACATGGGTATCCCCTTCCCAATGCCATGGCCTGAAAATTTTTCTCAAATTACTAAGCAAGCGAAATCATGGGGCTGTGCTTGCCTTTTTTTTTTTTTAATGTTTATTTATTTATCTTGAGAGAGAAAGAGCTCGAGCAGGGGAGGGGCAAAGAGAGGAATAAAGAGAATCCCAAGCAGGCTCTGCACAGCCAGCACAGAGCCTGATGAGGGGCTCGAGCTCATGAACCATGACCCGAGCTGAAATCAAGAGTTGCTCGCTGAACCGACTGAGCCATCTAGGTGCCCCTGACCTTGTTTATTTCTATTTCTCAGGGAATCACTATTTCTCAGTGTCTGATGTCTAGTGTCTTGAAAACATATTTTGTTTCTTGTTTGTTCTTTTGGTTTGGTTAGGTTGGGTTGTTTTGGGAAGGAGAGAAATCTGGTTCCTATTGTCTTATGTAGGTGATTTATTTTTTTCTTCTGGAAGCTGTGATATTCTTTTATTCTTACTGTTCAAAAAAGGCATAGATAGATTTAAGGTTTTTTCTTCTTCATTTATATTTAAGTCATTTAATTTAAAAGTTGTATTCTCTTTATCACTGGAAATTGTTTATTCTTTTAAAAAAAATTTTCTCCCTCCTGATACCTCTGCTCTAACTTTCTGCAACTCCAACTTGTATATCAGACTTCTTGGAACAGTTCTCTATGTCTTTTAATTTTTATCTCATATATTCTGTCTCCTTGATTTTTAAATTTTACATTTTTAGAAAATTTCCTAACTTTACCTCCTAGCCCCTCTATTAATTTTATTAATTATAATTTCCCAGAGCTCTTATTTTCGTCATGTTAATTTATGACAACATAACACTTGTTCTATGGTCACCAAATCTTGTCTGGGCATCCGAAGTGGAGTTTTAGGTCTTAAATTTTCCTCTATATCTTAATTATCTTTGGGTCTTATCCAATGTCTTTAAAAAAAAAAAAATCTTGATCTTTTCCTTTAAAGTTACAGGCATTTAAAGCAAATGTCTGGTGATCTTTGGTTGCCTGTTTTTATTTCAAAATGGAAAGGCTAATTGGAAGCTTCATGCTTTCAGCAGAGCTGGTCAACTACCAGAAAGTTTTTTTAGGGAGAGCAGACAGCCAGCAGGTGGTTATTCAGGATCCCTACTCCCTTACACTCTAAATCCCAATAGACTGATTTAATATATGTGGCCCCTTTCTCTGTAATCTGGAACAGCTTTTCAAGTGTCAACTGATTTGATTTTTTGAGGGTGCTGAATTAAATTTCTAATTTTAAATGCAAACAATTCTACTATTAATTTTGAGACATAACATTTCCTCATGTCATCTATCTCCCTTTTTAATTCTGTGTGTCCTACCTATCATTTCTCTTTTTACAAATTCCATTCTTTTTTTTCTTTTTTAATTTTTAAAGTTTATTTTGAGAGAGACAGAGTATGAGCAGGGGAAAGGCAGAGAGACAGAGACAGAGAGAGAGAGAGAGAGAGAGAGAGAGAGAGAGAGAGAGAATCCCCAGCAGGCTCTGCAGAGTCAGTACAGAGCCCAACATGGGGCTTGAACTCACCAAACTTTGAGATCATGACCTGAGTGGAAATTAGAAGTCAGACGCTTAACCAACTGAGCCACCTAGGCGTCTCTTTACAATTTACCCATTCTTAACAGGTACAAAAGAGATCATCTTTTTTCTCATTTTTATTTTATTTCCTGGAGAAACCGTTTTTAAAAAGCACGCTTGGGGCGCCTGGGTGGCGCAGTCGGTTAAGCGTCCGACTTCAGCCAGGTCACGATCTCGCGGTCCGTGGGTTCGAGCCCCGCGTCGGGCTCTGGGCTGATGGCTCAGAGCCTGGAGCCTGTTTCCGATTCTGTGTCTCCCTCTCTCTCTGCCCCTCCCCTCTCATGCTCTGTCTCTCTCTGTCCCAAAAATAAATAAACGTTGAAAAAAAAATTTAAAAAAAAAAAAAAAAAAAAAAAAAAAAAAAAAAAAAAAAAAAAAGCACGCTTATCTCTGCATCTAATATGCTATGGTTTCCTTCCTATATTTTGTTGAATCTTATTCGTAAGTTTCATTCCACCTTTCAATACGAACATCTTCTGTTTGTCCATAAAAAGGTAAATGAATATTTGTTCTATGGTTACTCTCATTATTCAGAAGTGTTCTATTAGAATCCTCTCCTTGGGAGCTAGCTGATGTAAATTTACTTTACTAGGTCACAGCTCCAGCAGCTGGAGTTAAGAAGGAGGAAGCCGAAGGCAGGGAAAGCCCCAGCAGAGGAACTTCCCTGTGCTGCTTCCCAGGAAGAGTTCTTTATCTCATAACTGAGTTTGATCCAGCCTAAATGGCAAGTATAAGTTATGTGGATCTGGTTTCCTCTCTCATGCTGGCACCTACTACATCAGGGACATAGCAACCTCTGGGTTAATGACTTTGTTCTGGGTGTGGACATACAACAAAACAGAATTTTTAATAAAATTAAGTTTCTAGTGTCCGTAGTTCTCCTTCTCTTGACCTTCAAATGATGCAAAAGTATTTCTGGCTCAGACAGTTATCAGGCCTTAGGTATGTGACTCAGAGTGGAGTACTGCTCCATATCCTAAAGGCCGATAAGGAAGAGAACTGGGGTGGGGGTGGGGGAGAGAATGAGATGGACAACAACAGGAAAAGTATTGGAGAGAATGACAATTAGCAACTACAAAGAAGGGAAGAATCTGGAGAAAGGGATCTTGAGAGAAGACTTATAGTAGCCCGACTACATGGTGTGTGTGGTTTCTTCCACCCTACAGAAAAGATCTACATTACCTCGTAAAGGTTTTTTAGAAGGGGATTTTGTGCCTTTTGGATGTGTCTGCACAGTGTAATGCTCCTCAAGGCAGGAGCCAGAAAGCCCTGCCACATGTGGTCTGCAAGAACCCTGCGACCTCCTAGTGTACTGCTTTTTCATGCTAATCTACCCACAGCACAGGGCTTAGGAGCACAGGCTCTGAAGCCAGACCCTCTGGATTTGGCCCCACCCCTGCCCCTCACCAGCTACTAGCTCTGTGCTTTTGGGAAATTCATTTAACCTCTCTGTAGAATAGGAACTAATAGTACCTACTTCAGAGGGTTCGTTTGTAAGAATTACAGTCAACTCATATGAAGTGCTTAGAACAGTGCCTGGCATATAGGAGACACTATAAATGCCCAGTTTATACAATTAATTAAAAATAAATATTAGCATTATTGCTAAAAATTTTAAGCTTCCTCTCTACCTCCTATGGCTTGCCCCCTTCAAGCCCTTACTCTTCTAAATTAGAGAGCATTACTTCCTAGCGGGAGCAGCTTACACAGCCTTGTTTACTAATAACTTCTGCTGTTGCAGTCAATGTGAGAATACTACAGTTTTGGAGCAGGAAAAGTGGGAGTCAAGTGGTGTGCTTCTCTTCAACCCTATAGCCCATGTTTTTTCCATATTAGGGCGTCTACCAGGCAAGCACCCACTCACTTCCAAGGGATTCTGCTACTTCTTGGAAAGGAGGGGTAGCAATTAGCCCTGGGTCATGCTTCCAAAGGTCCCACTTACTCTATGCCCAATAGTATGTCCCCATTCTGAGCATGTCAATACTCACTCCCTATTTCTGTGCTGGGGCCAGGTCATCTCACTGAGGATCCTTTAGAGGCCCGTGGATGCTTCTGGGGATGCTGCTAACCTACCAGGCCATCCTCCTTAATATGCACTCTGGATGACCCCCTCTCCCAGACTCATTCATCAATTCACTTAACAAATATTTATGGGTCATCTCCTAGATAAAAGAAATATTGAAATAAAAGATACTGTTCTTAACACAAAAGATAACCCTTTTATTCCTCTAGTATATTGTTCTTAGACAAAATTTTGCACTGTCCTTTTCATTCCTCTTGAATAGTTCTCAAGTTATATGAATTTCTGAGATATAAACCACAACAATGAAAAGACTATTTTTGTTCTCAAGGAGCTTCCAGTCCAGAGACCAAGGGCAGGTGGATACATGAATAGGGGTGTGTGGAAAATGTATAACATAGGACAAAAAAAAAAAAAGCTGTAAGAGGATTCAGCCTAGGATGCTACAAGAGTAGACTGGAAGAACAATGGTATCAGAATGGGGAAAAGAGAGAAAGGAGGACAGAGAGAAACTCCTAGAAGAAAGGACATATGAGTTCTGTTTGGGGACCAGCTTTAAACAACAACTATTTTCCATTTCAAGTCTTTTAACTTGCTCCATACTCTTGAGAGGTCACTATTAGCTTTTCAGTGTTATAATGATGCACAATCACAATGTGGGGGTCCTTCATAAAGATTGCAGGTGGCAGATAGAAGCCAGGCATACTGTCTTTCATACATACCTCATATTTCATGGTAAAAAATCCATCCCCTCCAATGCCCTCAAGTGCAAAGGCCTGTACAATTGGCCACTTCTCTACTACAAACATATCAAATATCTGCAAGTGACCTAGAGGAATCAAATACAACAACATGTATCAAATACCATCCTGGATATAACAGTCTAAACCTGATCTTAAGTGGTTACCCAGGCATCTCTCACAAGTTCATTACGGTCACATTTAGCAGAATAAAAGTAAAACAGATAAAATGCTTAGATATTAAAACTAGAAATTAAAAATGAAAGGCAAAGAAAATGCAAACCATAACAAGCTACATAAATTCAGATTTCTCTATAGTATAGCACACTCTGGTTTCCTAAGTAAGCAAGTAAGTTAACGAATAAATAGTGGCCTATTACATCTGACTTGCATCACTTAGCAGATATAATTATTAACAGACCCAAACTCAGCTCTTCCCACCCTTAAGAAACATAGCCAATCAACTTCCTTAAGGGAAAATTACCAAATCAAAAATTTTCCTTTCTTGCAGCAATAGCTCCAATGTGCAAAGTTTAAGAAAAAAATAAGATATAAGTACTGCTAAATGTGTTGACTTTTTCCTTTATTTTTACATTTTTCAGCCTCTCTGTCAGCATATTTTTAACAGCTACTATTTCTTATTACCAAGAGGCTCCACAGCTATACTCTACATACAGTAGCAAATGGCACAGCTAGACGGCAACTGTGGTAAATCCCTTTTCAGTTCTTCCTTCTGAATAGATGGCCTGCTGTGTTTTTTAGAAACTACAGTTATAAGTAACCAGCTTGCACAGAAAAATCCCCAAATTTCATTCTGTTTGATCCTCTGCCTTTAGTAAAAATAGATCAATGGGTTTCCCAGGTGAATGCCTCCATGGAAGGGGGAGGTAGAAACACTGGATTCACACATCATCCAAGCAAAGTTCTAATAGGGCTTGCTGTCAGATACTCACCTTGGGAGCTGTAAGGAATGCCAATTCTACTACAGTCTCGAACCATGTCCACAAAGCTGGCAATTTTAAATTCTTCTGCAGCTTCCTCATCTTCATACTAAAGAGGGAAATTGAAAGGAAAACAGGCTCTGAGGTGACATCATGCAAAATCCCCTATTTCCTCGGTATTTTATCAATCAGAGTTATGGCAAATGACATTTATAGAGGACTGCACCCAAGAGGGTGTTTCCAAAGCCAACTTCTTGTGTTGCCTTACACCACACATAAAAACCAACTCAAAATAGATCAGATACCTAAATGCAAGAGATAACATTTGCCTCCAAAATTCCCCAAACGCTCACATGGAAAGAAGGGTGCTTCCCATGTTGTTCAAGGGCCAACTGTACATCAGTATATTTTGCGATTCCATTCTATTTTTCTTCTTGTAAGTCTGTTGTGTTATTTTAGTGATTGCTTACAATTTATAACAAACATCTTTAACATTAAAAAAAAAAAAGAAAGAAGAGTTTTTAACCCACATCAGGTCACAATTTCTATGAAATCCTAAATCTCAAGTCCCAATTTGATTTCCAGCCAAACACTTGAAAAGAACCCAAAAACAAATACCAAGAAATCCAAACACAGAAATGTCACAAAGCTTATCAAACTCTCCTAAGGCAGTCCGTGGCACTAGTCCTCTGAGAGAATGGGCTCAGGCTGGTGATGAACAAGTAGGACGGGAAGCTAGGGTCACAAGCCTACGACTAGGTCCCAATCTGAAGAGTCCTTTTTGTCTCTGTCAGGCATACAATTTATCTATAAGGTAGCCTCATAATGAATTATGAGAAGTTCCACTAAAACAAGTAACTTTTTTTGTGCAACCACATCCTGCAAAGTGATTTTTTTAAGGGGCCTCCCGGTCCAGATCTACACTTTTTTTGAAGAATATCCTTAGAGTGTCTCTAAGTGCCTGTTCTATCTTTTCTCCTTACCTCATTTTCGGTCATGCAATGGAAATGCAGATTTCTCCAATGTGCCACATAGGGTAAGAGATAGCGATAGTTCACAGGATTACAGTACAGATGGACACTATCTGATTTTACCAATATAATTACATCTGTAAGGAAAACAAATTTAAAACACAAGATTGTCAAAGGCATTTCTTTTGCACATTTTCTGTCCACCTAATTAATAAAACCATTAAAAAACTATTTCAGAGAAAAGGTAACAAAACTCTAAACTAAAAATTCTTTAAGTAGACAACGTGCCTCAAAGTGACTGTGGAACACTCACGTGTGGACAGCAAGGATTTTCTAGTTCCCATGCGATGCTCCAATCATTGTGGCCCTCTGGTTATGACAATGCAGGCACAGAATAAGTCAAAAGAACAGCCTTCAAAGTGTTCTGCTTTTGCAAAGTTCAACACAGTCACATCTATGGTATCAGACTTAGCTGGGTGTTTTGCTGCAGAGATAAACACCAAATGGATGTGCCACAGCCTACCACTGAGGCAGGAAATATCACCAACTATGGCCAGTGATGGTTTTCATGCAGACATCAGTGTCTAAAGCCCTTGGCTGTTGACTCAAGGCAATCATGGGCCTGAGGATGTCACTGTTCAGCTCTGGGAAGCATTACTATGTACTGGGGTGAACTTTGTACACAGGAAAAGCTGGGAGGAAGGAAGTAGAGGCAAGTGGACAAAGCTGCTATAAATAGATCAGCAGCTCACAGACTTAAGGGGTAATCACGGAAGTTGCTGGGTCAAATAAATAAAACAATTCCAAGAGTGCGAATAAATTTAGGTAAATTAACAGAAGAGCCATGGAATGGGGCAGGAATATTAAAGCAGTTTGAAGACTGAGAAAGCAGTCATACTTCCAAAAGAAAAGCAGAGCTCACTGCATGGCTCCTCAGAGCCATCTCAGGCATCTCTCTAACAAGATGATGTGAGGGAAGTTGCTGCAGGAGGTGGCTGGAAGTGAGAGAAGCGTGGGGGCAGGGAACACCTGAAGCAGCAGGTTTAGGACAATGCCAACACAGTAACACAGTGTGACAGCCAATATTCTACAAAAACCTAAGCCCGATGAATACTGACTGCAGCTGATGACACCAATGGGTGGCCTCTTGAAATAAAGCTCCAGGAAGCTGGCCTTTGATTTTTCAAAAATCACTCTGTGCTCCACACCTGACCAGACCCAGGTATCCTAGGGAATGCAGTATGGTGCCGCATATTCACTGCTGACTCTTAGTTAAGCACCAAAGTCAAAAGGTGGCAAGAGATGGGAAAAGGGTACCCTCTCACCCTGTTGGTCCTCTTCACACAGGCCCTCTAATAAGAGCCTTGCCCTGAATTACTTGTAGAACGTGTGCTGAAGAGAGACTGACATCACCTGGAGAGCCTGAGGGTTTCCTAAGACTGTGCACTACACTAATGTGTAACACTCCACAAGGAATTAGGATCCAATAAAAGAAATAATGCAACAGCTACTAAGCCTAATTAAGCATTTTCAGAATCTCATAGGACTCTGATGTCATTAAAAATTTTTGCTTTTGTTTTTTAATAAGTCCTTCATGTTGGCCTCTTTTCCTCTCACAGAGATCAAAATGTAGATGCACAGGGGTACCTGGCTGGCTCAGTCAACAGAGCATGGAACGCTTGATCTCAGAGTCATGAGTTCAAGCCCCATGATGGGTATGGAGCCTACTTAATTTAAAAAAAAAAAAAAAAAAAAAAAAAAAAAAGAAAGAAAGTAGGGGCACCTGGGTGGCTCAGTCGGTTGAGTGTCCGACTCTTGATTTTAGCTCAGATCATGATCTGGTTGGTGGGTTTGAGCCCCACTGCACTGACAGTGGAGAGCCTGCTTGGGATTCTCTCTCTCTCCCTCTCTCTCTATCCCACCCCTGCTTGTGTGCTCTCTCTCAAAATAAATAAATAAACTTGTAAAAAATTAAACTTCAAAAAAAAATGTAGATGCTTAAATCCAGTGATCTCAGTTTGCCAATTACTAGAATTTAAAACATGAAGTTACTAATTCACTTTTAATTCATTAATGATTTATTTTTCTTCAAAGAATTCTTTCAAAGAAAATGCTCATTTCATAAATACCCATTGTGCCAGGTGACAGGATAAAGACAATGGTAAACAAAAAAGCACACCTTTGAGGATTTAAACTTTCCTTAAGTTCACTACCATACTGTCCTTAGCAACCTTGGCTTCAGTGAAATGTATGGCTGGTATGAGTACCTGTCTTTTTATAACTCTAAATGAGCTGCCAAGATGAATTCTTTCTAAACCAGTAGATGCTGTCCAGCATGAAGAAACATTTTCAAAAATCAAAATCTGAAACTAAATTTGAATTAAAAGAAATTATTTTTTTAATTTTATTTATTTATTTTGAGAGAGAGAGGAGGAGCAGGGGAGGGGCAGAGAGAGAATCCAAAGCCCACTCTACACTGTCACCACAGAGCCCCACATGGGGCTGGAACTCACAAACCATGAGATCATGACCTGGGCCAAAATCAAGAACTGAACGCTTAACCGACTGAGCCACCTAGGTGCCCCAAATTGAAAGAAATTTAATGGAAGTGAAGCCTGCTCTGTCTGCACTTCCTAATAAAAAGGAAATCTTTAATCAATCTCTAAGGATACACACTATTAAGGATTTTACCACAGAAGAATTTTCACCAACAGTAGACCAGGGTTCTGTAACCTTGGTACTATCGACAGTTCAGACCAGATCATTCTTTGTTGTGGAAGGCTGTCCTGTGCATTGTAGATGTTCAGCAGTCACTGAACATCAGTTCATCAACAATAGCTGGGACAACTGAAAATGTCTTCAGATATTGCCAAATGTCCCTTGGGGAATAAAACTGCTTCCACTTTATAATTTTTTTTGAAAGTTTAATTTGAGAGCAAGAGAGAGAGAGAGCATGCAGACAGGAGGGGCAGAGGGAGGGTGAGATAGAGGATCCTAAGCAGGGTCCGCACTGTCAGCACAGAGCCAATGGGGGGCTCAAACTCATGAACCACAAAATCATAATCTGAGTCAAAACCAAGAGTCCAGACACTTAACTGACTGAGCCACCCAGGTGCCCCAAAACTGCCCCCACTTTAAAACCACTGCACTACATCCACTGCAAGATTACTTTCATATCAGATGTTTGCTTTCATGCACTCCCCAGCTGCTTCACAAGAGCTGCCTGTCTCTTGTCCAGTTTGATTTGTCTATTCCTGTGTCTCCTGATCCATCTGGCAAACAAGTCATGATGCTAAGTATGTGATATAAGAGACAGCTCCTGGGCATCAGCCCACAACAGCATCAACACAGGGAGAGTGTCTCAGAGCTAAAGAAAGGGGAATGTAAGCAGAAAGCCTCCATTGTAGTCATGGGCATCGTCATGAATTAAAGTCACACAGAAAACAATTCCCAAAGACGGAGCAGGACAAAGAGCCTTTGTTCCTAAGCTGAAGATCCACATGAAGTCTTCCTTGTAGGAGTAGCCTGCAGGCTCATCTTTTACCCACAAGTGAATGTGCTTTCACAGGACAACAGCACATAATCTGAACCTCCCAGCACACAGAGGCAGTGGGCAATTCAGAGGAAAACTAGTGCTTTGCCAAGAAAATATAAAACCAAACTGATATGTATTTTTCCCCCTAAAACTAATTTACCCATTAAACATATTCTGAAAACTACTGGTCACTAGTCTTGTATCAACCAGCAGGTGACCAACAGGAGCACACTACTTACTACTATATATACTTACCATCTAGAACTTCTTCAGAAAACCCTGTTTTCTCAAAATCACTTGCATTCTGATTGTACAAACCAAACAGAAGATAATTTGCCAGCTCTCTGCAGCCTTCATTGTACCTGCTATCGATTCCTGCAAGGCAAAGAAGGCTCTGATCAGTGGTACTGTACTATGGGAAGCAAATAAGTCCCAGTAATTTGTCCCTGCTCAGCAAAACCCTGATGGTTAGGTTAAAGGCAGAAGCTCATACCAGTTTTGTGCCAGGAACCAAACTGAACAACCCTATGAAAGAAGCATCAAGTACTCTTACTTGGGTTTCAAGATCTATATAGTTGAGACAATTAAACCATATACATTATTGAAGCTATTAATTTCCAAAAGGCAATTTTTGAGTATAGAATGAAGCAGAAAATATGGTCTAGGTCCTTTGGTGGCTAGTTAAATACTGTGGAATACTGTTCAGCTGGAATAGGGGGATAGAAAATATTCACTTTTCAAAGAGAGCTTTAACAAAACATGGGGTATCAAATAAAGACAGATTAAGGTGGTTTGAAAAGAATTAAAAGAAGTGAAAAAGAGGACAAATGAATGGAACCACAGACACCTATCATTTCACAAATATTTATCAGGCTCAAGGTCTACACTGTGCTGGATGCTGGAATGTGTGGTGAACATGACTGCAAACGGCCCTCAAGACGCTTACAGTCTAGTGGGGCTGGATCAGAGACAAAAGGAAATTAAACAACACTGCCTTCACTACTGCCTGGTTCCTGAGTATCTATGAAAGCCCAGAGCTATGGCTCTGGGCAAGAGGAATGTCTCACAGGCAAGGCAGTAGCTGTCTAGTTGAGACTGAGGAAGGAGTTACAGCAGAGAGACCTCCAAGAATAGAAACATGGCTGGAGCCTGGAAAAGAAGACTGTCAATGGTCATCCGGACAAGGGACAAGTGAAAGGTAGAAAGTAACGGTCATTTATACCAGAGGGGCCCAAGACTGCTTGTGGCAGAGGACTTCTAATGTAAGAGAACTCCCATCTCAGTTGAGATTATAAGAGAACAGCCCTCCCTGTTTATCTCATTCAACGCTTCAGCCAAGGGAGGGGTGAAAAAGAATCAAAGTCAGAATGGACTGCTATCTACAGCCCAACATTTAAAGGGCTACAGAGTTAAAAACAAACATGGGCTGGGCAGACCTAGCTTCAATGTTTGTTTATTTTTGAGAGACAGAGAGAGACAGAGCATGAGGAGGGGAGGGGCAGAGAGAAGGAGTCACAGAATCTGATGCAGGCTCCAGGCTCTGAGCTGTCAACACAGAGCCCAATGCGGGACTTGAACTCACAAACCGTGAGATCATGACCTGAGCCGAAGCCGAAGCCGGAGCCGAAGCCGAAGCCGAAGCCGGCACTTAACCGACGGAGCCACCCAGGCGCCCCTGGGCAGACCTAGCTTCAGCATGTCTACCTCTAAGGATTCCAGCCGCATAAACTGTTAACATGAAAAAGACTATGTAAAATTAAAGGCAAATGAAACTATATGTAGGCACTGTGCTTAAGCTGATAATGTTGTTTCTCATGGGGTATTATAGGTTAACAATTCTGATGTTGCTGAATATGTATACTAGAATTAAGTAAACTGATGGTGGATGATGGGTGCCAAGTTTCTCACTGATGAAGTAGGAGTTTACAGGTAAACAAAAGGGGGAAGCTAGAAAAATCTATGTGGTAATTGGTTAGGCTGGAGACATTAATATGAATTCATGTTTAGCTTAATATGGGTACATAACATTTGCATTTAATGTACACAGCAGCAGTGACATCTAATAATGAGAGTGTATCCAAAGCCCAGATCTTGGTTTCTAATACCATTCTCCAATAAAAGGAACCCCAGTGCTCCCTGGAGAAATGGCTGATTCTAGGACTGGAGGAGGAAATACACAAAATAAGTCTAGAGTACCTTATAGTGCCAGAAAGCACATAAGTGCTAAACAAACAAAACTTTGATGGGATGGTATGTCAAAGGGAGAGACACAGAAGCCAAATGAAATAAGAGCATAAATACAGTAACAAACAGGCGGTTTTATTCATAGGTAAATTCATGGCAAAGACAGCCCCCACCCTTTTGAGGGCTGCAGCTAGAGAGGGGATCCAATGAATGTTGTTTAAGCATTTGAAACCTCTGGCAGGAATTCCAGGTCCACCACAAGTGTGTCTTTATAGAGACTTGCCAACCTCTGGGCTTAGTAGTGGAGCCAGGATTCAAACCCCAAATCTACCTGGCTCCAGAGTGCATGTTTTTAACTGCTCTGCACACTACCTCTCATAAGGCTAAAGGCAAGTACTGTTAAGTGAAAATACAAAATTATGCACAGAATATATGAGGAGAGACAAACAACAAACTAATGGCAGTTTGCTTCTAGGAAAGAAACTGCGGTGGTAGATGGACAAACCACCAGACCTAACAATTCCAATCCCATGACTCAATGGATATAAGTGAAAATGAGACAAAGAAGATCAATCTAATATAGAAAAATCTCCAAAATATATTGTGAAGTGAAAATTTAAAAATTAGGTTAATTACAGTATAAACAAGATGTTTCCATTTGTGTTAAAAAAAGATACAATTGACAATGTTATCTCTGGGGAGTGAAACTGGGTATCTGGTTGGTTGGGAAGCTCAGTTCATTTTCATTTGAGGATTGTCTTAATTTTTAAATTATATGATGCATTTTCATAATAAAAAAACTTAAAGAACAAATATGTGTCCAATTCTGCTACTCTATGGTCCTGGGCAAGTCTGTTCCATCTCCTTGAGTCTCAGTATCCCCCTCTATAAAAAAGGGGACTACACTGCTCCCTTTTAAGGTTGCTGTGAGGGGAAATGAGATAACCTGCACAAAGTGCCTGCCTCATGGTTGTGGGTCCTTATCCCACTGATATCTCACCTGACCTCATTAAAACAGCAAGAGATTTCAAGGGAACAAGAGATGGAAGAAGGACACTAACCCAAGCTTATCTCACAATGACACTATTATTAATATCTTCCTTGAACAGAAGCCCAGTTGCCCAGCTTGTTAAAAGCACTGACCTAGGATGCAGAGGATCCCATCGGGTTGAGACTTGCTGCTCTGGGTCAAGATGCTCTGAACCTGGCGGAGTCGGCTGCAGCTGCAACAAGAACAGAAACAAGCTCCTGAGTGCCAGCGCATGAAGGCATGAGGAAAAGGAAAGGGATGGAAACTGGCCCTTGCCTGGTTTTGGTATCAGAACTGTGACATGACCTGGGAAGTACTCCCTTCTCCTCTGTTTTCTGGAAGAGATTATGCAGAATGTGTCTGAAGCCTAAATCTGAACTGTTGATTACAAACTGGAGAGTCCGTGGCTCTGTGGCTCACCAGAGGATAGAGCCAACGCTGGACTGGGACTCAGCAGCTGACCGAGGGCCCTCCAATGACTTCTCATTTTTGAGGATTATCAAAGAAGAGTTACCACACTGATCTGCCCTAACTGTGGTCCTCATCGGTTTGCCAAAAACAAAAATGAAAAACAGTTAAAACCAAAAAATTGGTTTAAGGACCTAAATGAAGCTCTGATTCACCATCACAACTACCCCCAAAGAGAATGTTAGCAAAGGGTACTTGTTCCCATTTCTGTGCAAGTCTATTCCCGTGGACTTAGGGATATCCCCTCCTCCCAAAGTATAAGGAGAGGCACTCCCAGACATTAATATCACTTCTAAGGACTCCATGCTCTCCATACCAACCTCTCCTCCTTCCTAGTAGTCCCAGAAAAAGGTGCTCAAGACTGATTCTGTTCAAGACTGATCACGTGATCAAGGATCAAACTGATCCTTCCACTAGGTCTCTCCCTGTCACCCCCAGGTTCAGGATGTGCCTCTACTATTCATTCCCTAACACTCCCATTAAATTTTTCCCTACAGTCAGCATATTCCCAGCCTTACCTCATTATTAACTAAGATCCTCCACAAACCAACACTAAGCGTTCCATCTAGGACAATTAGATTTCATTCCCACTCGTTGCTGAATCTGCTCCACTGCATGTCCTATACTCACCCAAGCAACCGTATTCAGCCAAACAACACTACTTCTCTTCCCTGAATGCTTTCCCCCACCCTCTGGATTCTTTCTGATGTTTACACTCCTCAACTCATCCATTCCATGACTTAGTGGTCATTATCACTGTCTTCTATCAAGATGTTCACATATACCACCTAACATCAAACCCAGAGACAGTACTGCCAAAAAAGAGAGCTACAGACCAATATCATCATGAATATAGCTGTAAAAACCTTTAATAAATGATTAGTAATTAGAATTCAACAACATATAAAAAGAATTATACACCATGACCAAGAGGGGTTTATCCTAGGGATACAAGGCTGGTTCATTATTGATAAATCAGTCAATCATATTAACAGGCTAAAGAAGAAAAAAATCACACAATGATGCAGAAAAATCATTTTCTGCACTAGTTTACAATAAAAGCCCGAATGAACTCTATTTCTGTATTGAAGCAACAAAGACATGGAAATCAAAATTAAAAATACAATGTGACCAAAATATAAATTTAACAAAACATGTATAGGATTTACGTGTTAAAAACTACAAAACAGTTATAAAGGAAACCAAAGAGGATCTAAGTAAATGGAGAGACACTGTGTTCATGGATTGGAAGACTCAAGATAGTATAAATGTCAATTCTGTCTAAATTAATGTATAGGTTTAACACAATTCCTTCAAAATCCTAGCAAGCTTTTCTGTAGATACAGACAAGATCAATCCAAAACTTACACAGAGAGGCAAAGGAACTAGAATAGCTTAAAAAATTTTGAAGAAGAAAAAACAGGGAGAGGAATCCCTCTGATATTAAGAGTTACTACATAGCTAAAGTAATCAAGACTGAGTGGTACTGACTAAGAGGATCAACGGAACAGAACAGAGTTGCCAGAAATTGCCCTACACAACAGAGCCAGTTAACTTTATTTGATAAAGGTTCAAAAGCAATTCAATGGAAGAAGGATAGTCTTTTCAATAAATGGTGTTAAAGCAAATGGATATCCACAGACAAAAACACGAACCTCAACCTAAATTTTGTACCTTACACAAAAATTAACTCAAGATAAATCACAGATTTAGAATTTTAAATGTGAAATTATAAAATATTTAGAAGGTAACAGAAGAAAATATTCAGAACTTAAAATCTGATGAAATTCTTAGACTTGATACCAAAAGTATAATGCATGAAAGAAAAAAAAAATCAATAAATTTGACTTCATCCAAATTGTAAACTTTTGCTTTGTGAAAGACCCTGTTGAGAGAATAAGACAAAGTACAGACTGGCAGAATGTATTTGCATATCGCATATCTGACTAAGTAGAATAAAGAACACTCCAACAGTAAAAAAATTAAAATCCAATTAGAAAATGGGCAAAAGGTATGAAGAAACATTTCCTCAAAGAGGATATAGAGATGGCAGATAAACACCTGAAAACATGTTCTGCATCGTTATCTATTAGGGAAATGCAAATTAAAACCACAATGAGATATTACTATGTGTCTACTAGAAAAGCTAAAATAACAAACAGTGATAATAGGAAAACGCTGGGAAGGATTCAGAGAAACTGGATCATCCATACATTTCTGAAGGAAATTAAAGAAGATACCAATAATGGAAACACATCCATGTTCATGCACTGGAAGACTTCTTATTGTTACACTGTCAATACTACAGAAAGCGATCTACAGATTCAGCATAATCCCTACCAAAACCCTAATGATGCTTTTTGTAGAAATGGAAAAATCTATCCTAAAATTCAAGGGACCCAGAATAGTCAAAAGCATACTGAAATGGACAAAGCTGAAAGACACAATTCCCAATTACAAAAGTAACTACAAAGCTATGGTAATCAAAACAGTGTGGTACTGGCATCAAGATAGACATATTGACAATGGAATAGAACAGAGAACTCAGAAATAAACTCCTTTTGTGACTGGCTTATTTCACTCACTATAATATCCTCATGGTCAAATGATTTTTCACAAGGGTACTAAGACCATGCACTGAGAAAGGACAATTTTTTCAATAAATGGCTTTGGAGACACTGTATATCCACATGCAAAAGAATGAATCTGGACCATTACATCATAAATAAAATTTAACTCAAAACAGAAAAAAAGACCTAAATGTTAACCTGAAACTATAAAACTTTTAGAAGAAAACATATGGGAAAAACCTCATGAAACTGGATTTGGCAACAATTTATTGCTATGACACCAAGAGTACATACAACAAAATAAAAAATATGTAAATTAGATTTTATCAAAATTAAAAACTATGTTCATCAAAGGATACAATCAACAGATGAAAAGGCAGCCCGCAGAATGGGAGGAGATATTTGCAAATCACGTACCTGATAAAAGGTTAATATCCAGAATATATAATTCCGAAAGAAATTAAAGAAGACACCAATAACGGAAATACATCCATGCTCATACACTGGAAGACTTCACATTGTTAAGCTATATATATAATTCTGGATATTAGCCTCTTACATATAAAGCACTCCTACAATTCAACCATACACATGCAAAAAAAAAAAAACAACAAAAACATTCAAAATGGGCAAAAGACTTGAATATACATTTCTCCAAAGAAGATACACAAATGGCCAATAAGCACATGAAAAGAAGCTCAACATCACTAATCATAAAGGAAATGCAGATCAAAACCACAAAGAGATACCATTCCCACACAAATTAGGATAGTTACTATTAAAAAGAAAACAACAAGCAAGGATGGTGGGGAAATTGGAACCTTTGGGCATTGTTGGTGGGAACCTAAAACAGTGTAGCCGCCATGTAAAATGATATGACAATTCCTCAAAAATTAAAAATTGAGGGGCAGGGGGAGGGAAAAATGAAAAATAGATTACCCTGTAACCCAGCAATTTCACTTCTGGGAATATATAGAAAAAAAAAATGAAAACAAGGATTTGAAGAAATATTTGTGTACCCATGTTCAGAGCAGCATTATTTACTACAGTCGAAAGGTAGAAGCAAATATCTATCAACAGATGAATAAACAAACTCTGCTATTTACATACAGTGGAATATTATTCAATCTTAAAAGGAAGGAAATTCTGAGACTTGCTAAAAACATGGATGAACCTTGAGGACATTATAATAATGAAAAATAAGCCATTCATAAAAAGACAAATATCACATGATTCCATTTATGAGATATACTTACTATATTCAAATTTATAGAGACATAAAGTAGAGTGGTAGTGTTGAGCTGGGGCAAAGAGGTGGGGTTACTGTTTAACAGGTACAGAGCTTTATAAGATGAAAACAATTCTGTGGGTGAATAGTGGGATTATAGCACAATAATATGAATTACTTAATGTTGCTAAATTGTACATTTAAAGATGGTTAAGATGGTAAATTTTGTTATAGTTATTTTACCACAATTAAAAAAAATTGGGGTGCCTGGGTGGCTCAGTTAGTTAAGTGACTGACTTCAGCTCAAGTCATGATCTCACAGCTCTCAAGTTCAAGCCCCACGTTGGGCTCTGTGCTGACAGCTCAGAGCCTAGAGCCTAGAGCCTGCTTCGGGTTCTGTGTCTCTGTCTGTGTCTCTCTCTCTCTCTCTCTCTCTCTCTCTGCCCCTCCCCCACTCACTGTCTGTCTCTCTCTCTCTCAAAAATAAATAGAAACATTAAAAAAAATTTTTTTTAATTTAAGTTAAAAAAAAGTCAATGTCATGTAAAACAAAAAGAACAGAGAGGGAGAATGCTTCTAACGTGAGAGATTAAATAATAATAATCTAATGTAAAAACCTTAATTTCATTAAAAACAAAAACAAAAACAGAGAAAGAGCCATGAGACATCTGAGAAAATTTGATGGTAGTAAGGAATTACTATTAATTTTTTTAGGTGAGATGTTATTGTGGTTATACCTAGAATGCCCCCCCTTTTTTTTTTAAAGCAGATACATGAGAAAGTACTTAGAAGTGTCATGATGTCTATAACTCACTTGAAAAGGGTTTAACAGAAAACAAGAATGACGAAAAGAAAAGAAAAATAAAGATAACATACATGGCAAAATGTTAAAAATTATTGACTCAAAGTGGTGGGTATATCAAGTATTCACTGTACTACTACTCTTTTACCTTTACTGTATTATTTGAACATTTTCTTAATAAAAATCTGGGGATGGAGGTAAGAGGGTCACACGGAATAACTTTAGGGTTTTTAGAAGTAGCACAACAGAAACTGCAAGATAATCAAGATTAAAGGTAAGAAAGCTTCTTTCCTTGGGAAATTATCTGCCTCTCCCCCACCTTTTCATATTTAATACAAGACCAATCTTGCAACCATTCTCTACACCAATTTCATCAAGTTGGTCCTTTGGCCCATTTCCTAACCCAAATGAACAGCAGTCGACTGACTGCCAAGGGTACCAAGAGCTCTTTGATTTTCAAACTAACAACGAGCCAGT